GACTAGCAGAGGATCTAGGTGGTTAATAGTGACCTTTGAGCAACATCCCACTCCCCTGGGAGCTGCAGGTAGGGACTGTGCAAAGGTATTCTGCCCTTGCAATGCAAGTCTCTCTGTTAGCAAATAAAATGACATCCAAAGTCTTGTGAGAGCATCACAAAGGACAGGTGATAAGTTCACTTGGCTCAATCCATTTTATCACCCTTCCGTCCCGCAACTAATGGCCATGTTGCTGTTGTCATTACCAACGCAGGATGCAGGCTTGAGGTCTTGCTGTTGTGAAAGCTGCTGTCTCCCAGGCATCCCTCCTCTCCATAAACCTGGGATCTCCTTTCCCTCAGGCAGCTTCCCTGTGGTTTCCAGCTGCAAGGTTGCTAGGAGGAGAGCAGTAAGCTTAGATAATAAACATACATCAAAGAAAAGCACATCGTTCCTGCTGCCTCTCAAAGGAAAATGCCAAGACCCATATCCACATGTTGAATAGCCGGAAGGAAGGTGGGTGCAAAGGCATGTGTGGAGGAAACTTCCTCTAGGCTCCCTCTTTTCCTGAGGAAGCTGAAGCAAGACTTGCCAGTGCAAAGGGAAAATCCCTCTGCTTGGCTCTGAGCTGGTTCTTTATCAGAAAGGCATTATCTGGGTAATTAGCTCTGTCTGTGAGTGCTAATGTCTTTGGCTCTTTCATGCATGTGAGCCCGGAAGGAGAGGTTTGCTGAAGCATCCCTGTGTTGCTCCCATTATGCACAGCTACAATTCATTGAGGAAGCCTTGTCCTGCCAGCTTGCACTGTAATTAAAGTGAGGTTTCACTGCCATGTGCTCTCGTCTCTGCTCTTGTGATAATTAAGTGGCTCTGGCCCATTGCATTGATGAAGTTTGCTCTTCGTCCTGCATTTGCATTTGAAAGCGCAGTGGGACAGGTCCTCTCTTCTGATTCAGCCCTGCTTGTGTAGTAGCAGATACTGGTGCTTTGAAGTTGGTATAAGCATGTCCTGGTGGTGCTTCCACAGCAGCAGAGGTGGTTTACAGTCAGCTCACTTACGATAAAGAAATCCCCACTCACCTCCCCATTGCCCCTTGTAGCATCCTTCAAGGAGTTTGGGTGACAGCAGTAGCTCTCGTTTCCTCCATTTCTGTCCCCAGGAGCAATTCTTGTCTTTGCTATTGCTCCTTTCTGTACCTTCCTGCTCCCTACAGCCTCTCCCCAGAGCTTGCCCTGGGAAGGACTAGCCTGATGCAGGCACGGCTGGTGGCGATGGTTCAGTTTCTCAGGCTGGGTTCCCCAAGCGTTGATGCAGCTTGTGAGCTTTCAGCAGCAAATTGCATCTTCTGTTTCTTCTTTTTCTAAAGCTCCTTGCTAGAAGACAGGAAGGACTCAAAGTGGGGTTGGAGCAGAGGGAGTTGCCTCCTCCCAGACTGGCGATGGTTGAAAGAGAAATAGGTGTACCAATTCCTTTGATTTTTTTTTTTTTTTCTCCCCATAAATTTTCATTATGGAGAGATAAAAGTCAGGAGCATAGGAAGTCCTCCAGGCTTGGTCCTGGCCATCCTTGGAGGTGGTTGCACGCATTTTGGATCCTCTTTCAAAAGACCATGAATCATTTGGCTGTCTATTGGACACAGCACTGCTAAGATAAGCATTTCTGAGTCTGTCTCTCAACACCCTTGTTTCCAACAGTTGTCTTGGGAGCTGTCAGGCAGGACTGAGAACTACACAGTGTCTCTTCTCAATTACACGGGTGCAAATCCAGAGGATTTCACGGGATCAGTACCAAAAATAACAATCCTTTCAGTGAGCCATGAACCTGGCTGCAGCAGGAGCACTGACGGCAGGTGGGGATCCTGGGGCATATGGTGGAATCGCTGCCAGGAAAAACAGCTCAGGAAGGAGCTCGCCAAAATGGTTTTGGTGACCTGTTCCTTCTGTACATGTTAAAAACAGGTAGTGTGCAGAGAGCCTGCCTCTGTGGTATTAATGCAAAATTCCTTGGCGTTTGACTGTGTCTTGTGGGAGTCCTAGGTTAATTATATTTCACAGGGGTCCCTTCAGTGTGAATTACAGATTTGGATGCTTAATTAATAGAGGTAACTACCTACTCTAGGGGAAGGAGCAAGTGGCCATCCCAGCTCCTGGGAGCACAGACTGTTTTCCCAAGAAAATTGTACCATGAGCTGATTTCTCATGAAATATTTATCTGCTGGGCCACTCAGGGCTGTTTGAGTGGCCCTCAAAAAGGTTGTTAATGCACAGAGCAGATGGAGGCACAGAGACTGTTTATTAAATTCAGATTGCCTTTTGCCACTATGCTAATGCCAGTTGGGTGGCAGAAAAAATTACCCTGACCCCCTCCCATGCCCTAGCTGCCTGGGTTCACAACAGTGACAGTATTCAATCTGGTGCAAGAAGGGAGGTAAGCTGTTGGCAAAAACCTGCTTCCCTCCCTGTGCCTTTGCTGTGCTCCTGCACAGAGCTGGCTTTGCCATTTCTGATGGTGCAGAGACAGATGCCCACGAAGTATCTTGTTCATGGTCTTGGGCATGGTGCTTGATCATACTGCAGGTGCACTGTATTGCTCTGGCAGCATGGAAGAGGTTTATGGGGCAAAAATAGTCTTTGGGAATACAAAAGGCCTCCCCAGGCAGTGCAGAGCTGGTGGATGGGCTGTGTCCTCACCTTATTCCAGGTCTGTGATGGAGGTTGAAAGGGTGTTAGCGGTATGGTCATGACACTCCAGCTCTTTTCCTCCTTCCTAGACTCTCTGGCAAAGCAAAACATAAGGTCATGCAGCCTTGAAGCGGCTCTGACTTGTTGCATGGCCATAGCATCATCCAGAGCAGCAGGTACTTAAAGGTCAGCTAGAGGAACCCACCTCTTCCTTCAAGCTCCTGCCCCAAATGTAGAAATTTGGCTCCTTTTTCTTTGTCCAATTGAAAATAAATCAAACCCATTTATTTTTTTCACGGGAAAAAGATGAATGAAACAAATGGTTAGCTGTGCCTTTAGGAAGGCTTGTGTCAGCATGTTTGTGTGTCTCGTGGCTACCACTAACCAGAAGACAACTTCTCTAGGTTGAGGACAGACCTGAGCCAGTCCCCAATGCCCAGCATACTCCCAGGTCACAGCAATGAGTACTTTGGCTCCTATTCAATTTTAACACTGCTTTTTCTTCTTCCTTTAGGCTATGAAAGTCCTCTCCAAAAAGAAGCTCTTGAAGCAGTATGGATTTCCACGTGGGTATTTCACATTTAGAGGTCTGCCTGTTGTACTCAGCCAGGCAAATTTCTCTGTAGAAATGTTGTCTGCAAGGACTGCAGAACTTGGTCGCACTTGAAAGCTGTCCAAGTAGTTGGGGGGCTCGTTAAAATGCAGTGGGTAGTGAAAGGGCAGGCAGAACCACAGGGAAATGCAACACACTAGATAATTAGGTTCCTGGCTTTGATTTTCTGAGTCTCTTTGAAGTGCTGACTCTTCCACGTTCACCATCTATGAAGCCTAATTAAGTGCTGGAAGCTAGGCAGGGTAGACCCCCTCCTCCCAGGGGTTCTCCTACCCCCTCAGATAGCACCTGGCTCCAGTGGCTGGCCATGGGACCTGGCAAACAGACCAGGCTGGGAAGCCAGTAGGAGCTGGTCTGAATGGGCTTGGAGATCTCTGTTCTGGGTGGAGACTGTAATGCTTTGGGATGATAACAAGGTGATGAGATCTTCCAGAATAGCTGGAGATATCTGCAGAGGGGCCAGTGGCTGCTCACTCCTACATGCCAGGTGCTGCTGAAAAATGAGTAGTTCTTCACCATGTTATCACAATTGCAGGTCGGCCTCCTCCCAGAGGGTCAAAAGCGTGCTCCGGAGAGCAGCCAAAACCCATGGCACCACTGGACAGAGTCTATCAGGAAATAGCCATCTTAAAGAAACTGGACCATATCAACATTGTTAAGCTGATAGAGGTGAGCTGCTTCTCCACCCTAAGCTACACTGAAACAAGTCTGGTTTGCATTGCAACAAGAGGATCTTTCTTCAACTGCTCCAACTTCAGCCAAAATTGGTTTAAAATAGTTGTTCAGAAATTTAGGTTGGTGATTCTAAGCAAGATCATACCAGTTATGTATGACAAACTGACATACTTATCCTGGGCTTTGGGCTGGTGCCCAAGAGAAGGCAGCTGGCAGAAATAGCAGCAAGCTTGGACCAGTGAAACTTGTGTGTAGACAAGCCTGGGAAGGTTGTGCAAGGCTTTGGTGCCATTTTCAATATTGGCTGAGGTCAGATTAGGACAAGCAGTGTGTTTATTGGTAGGCTCTTTCTCTATATACAGGCAGAAGCCCAGATTTTCTGGAGACAGGAAAATCTGTGTCCTTCAAAGCCTCTCTCTCTGCAGGAATCTCTAAATATTAGCTAAAGTCATTCTCAGTGCTCTGCAGCTCAGCACAGTGTACAGGGAGCAGTAAAATGTTATTTAATTAAAAAAAATTTTTTTCCGCTGTTTTTCTCTCTCTTTTTTTTTTTCCCCTTTACCCTTATCTCTCTGTTATCAATTACAGGTCCTTGATGATCCTGCAGAGGACAACTTGTACATGGGTATGTGCCTCATTATATGCTTACAGAAATGTCTGGGCTTAGACCTAGTTATACAAGTAACACATACCAGGGCTCGCGGTCAGCACTAGGAGGAAACTTGTACCAATTTCAGCCAACTTATTTTTTCTGAAAAGTTAAACTCCTGTAAAGACAGTGGGATGGAAGGGCCCCTTGCAGTAGGGTAAGGCAACCTAGTGTCTTAGTACAGCTGTGCACATCTCCTTGCCACGGGGACACTAAAAAGATGTGCCAGTGGCTCTGCCCTTCTCTGTGTCGGTTTCAGTCCTAGACCCAGGAGAAAAGGGAAGGGTGCAGGATGATTTCTTGTCCTTCTTATGTAAGGTTGGTCTCTCCAGACTCCTCCTGTAGGCTGTGGATAGTGGTAGTGACTCTGGAAAGCAGTCTTGTCTCAGGGTGTTCCCTGTGACCCCTGCAGAGACACTGACCACCCTGCTGAGCCTTGGGACCTCCTAAGACAGCAGCACTCCTCCCTTTGGCCTCTGAGCCCAGACCCTGCCGGGGGGTGCTCAGATGGCAGGCTGTAGCTGACTCTGCATTTATGCAGAGGGTGAGGAATTTCCACCCATTTTGTCTCACTCTTCCCCCAAACCTTGGAAGTGCCAGCCACAGCCTAACCCCCATCTGGGCAAAACCTGGAGGGTCAGGCCTGAGAGGCACTGAGGTGCCCTCTCAGATGGGCCAGAGGAGGGGGACATCTGACCCTATTACATCTCTGCTTCCCTGTAATGTTTCCGGATAAGAGAGGCTCAAAGGCTGCTTCTCATGAAATAATTATGGGATGCTTTTGAAGATGCCTGTGAAAGGGGTCTCTGCCTAGCAAATGAAGCTATTTGCCTTTGAAAGGCCACTTTTCCCTTTTGGCTGAAGCCCCAGCGGCACTCTGGCAGCACCGCAAAGCAGCAGCCAAGGCAGATGCGCATGTGGTGGGGAGGGTGGCCAAGGCATTGTTTAAAGGTCTGAACTCCTGGGGATGGAGAGAAGGGGAGAGATGAGATAGCAAGCTTTTTTGTTGAATGAAAATAAATGCATGAGGAAGTCAAAAAAGCTGCAGAAAAGGAGGGGGAAAAAAAGCCCCAAACCCAAAACTAAGCTCTCCCTGTGGAACAAGGTAACAGTCCCAGAAATGGCAGCAATAGCAGCAGGACAAGTGGGAAATCTCTTGGTCGCATTGAGGGTCCTGGGGAGGTTGCACTGGTCCCTGGGCAGTGAGCAGTGGCTGTGTCCATGTTGTCCATGCCCCATCACCTCTTTGCTTCCCTTTGCTCTGCCTGGCATCCTGTGAGTGGTTCAGGCAGAGCAATGCAGGCAAATCAAGCTCTTGCCTCTGCCGTTCCCTCAGCAGCAAAGGGAAGCTGTGGGTGCTCAGCGCTGCTCAGGATTGAGCCTTCTGCAAGTGGGTTTCCTCCCTCCTGCTGCCGACCCAGCTGATAACTGCACCTTCTCCTTCCAAAAATGCCCCCCACTACAAAGCAAAACTAGAGAAAGTGGAGTCTGCTCTTTGGTAATTACTGCTGGCGTTAAGTACTGCTGTAAGCACTCTCTGCATGCTCATTGGGAAGAAAGCAGGGGATGGAGAGTGCTGATAAAAATTGAGCAACCTGCAATGGCACAAGATGGTTGAATAATGAAATGCTGCCACAAGCTGCAGCTTCTTCAGCCTGGAAAGCAAGATGAGCCAATACAAGCTGTCTTGTTGCATTTATACCTTCAGCTGGTCTAACATTGCAGCTGTGTGCAGGGCTGCCTGGTGCTTTGGGGAGGGCGATCTGCTCAGATTTCTTGGGAGGTGCAAGAAATCCATTAGTAATTCATGAGGAAAGAGCTCTGCTACTAGATAAAAGCAGATCCTTCTCCTGTTTGCAGAACAGGTCAGAGACAGGATCAGGAAAACACATTGCCACTAACTGCGTAATTGGGCACAAAAAACTCATGTGCGCTACAAACCTCAACTCACACCAACAAATCCTCTCCAATTGCTCCTGCCAGGGAGTGTTTACCTCTGACAGCCATGTAGCTGTGCTGCTGATTGACATAGCAGAAATGGAGCAACATGTTCTTACAGTATCTTGTTCGGTATCAGCAATTTAGCAGAAATATCACACCAAACATCCTCCCTGAAGGTACTGAATAAGACAGGGCTCAAATCAGCAAGGGCTGACACTGGGAACAGCAGAAATGTGGTTGATAAATTAGCATCCACTGTTTCCCTATGTGGAGCTGGCGGGAGGTGGGGATATTTGCTGAAGAGATGAATGTTTTCATTTTGTATCCTCTGGTGTCCTTGTCATGGGTGGGGGAAGAGAAGTGAGTGGAGGTAAATTGATTTTGCAGGTATGGGAAAGGATGTGTTTTTGTAGGTGCTAAAAACCCTACATAATAATTCTTTGTATAATTAACAAAAAATAAACCCAGTCCCCTCTTCTGAGTCATTCATGGTTTGGTTTCCTTTTCTTGCAGTGTTTGACCTCCTAAGAAAAGGGTAAGTAGCCCTCCTGGGATCCCTTGTGTTGAAACTGTTGGTGTTCATCATTAGCTTCCTAGGTGAAATGGAGGTTTGATATTGTACAGTGGGGCAATCTGCTGTCTGCAGGCAAGCACAGAGGCGGCAAAATCCAGCTGTAGTTGCCTTTGCACTGTTACAGCCTGGAATGATGTGAATATTAATGGGCTGGGAGGACATGTTCTGGTGTCAAGTTTTGATCTGGAAAACGAATTTGATGCCAATTCCCCATCAGGTACCTGGAAGAAAAGGTTTTAATAGGAATGCTCTGCTGGGGTAACAGCCACATTGTGGCTTCCTCTGGCACAAGGGGTGTGTGGTTGCATCAATGTTTACTTGCCACCCGCTGCCTTATTTTTCCCCTAGCATGACAATATTGTGGGAGGCTGTTTTGTTGGCATGTTTTTCCATAGCAGGAGACATGATAAGGTGGTGGGAGTCTCTTTGCTGCTTTTTGCTACACCTGTGCTGATTCTGCAGCTCCACAGAGTCACAGTGAGGTTGAGAGAGCTGTGCCCAGGATGGGGGAGATTCCTGAAGGGCTGATTTTTCTCTCTGGCCCCGTGAGCAAGCTTCTTGCAGGCTGCCAGCTCCAGTGGGTTGCTGGTGAGAGGCTCCCCGGTCTCCCTGGTGACCAGGCTGATAACTATCCTGTAGGAGAGGGGGAAGAAAAAAAAAAGCTCCTGTAATCAGCTGTGGCCAGGGAATGTGCAGCTCGGCTGAGCGCAGCCTGTCTGCCTCTAGCAGAAGGCAATTAGACTCCATTAGTGGTTCTGCCAGTCCTACTGCTTACATTATTTCAGCCTGGTTTCAGCAGCAGAAAAATGTACATGAAGAGGGAGGGAAGGCAGTGGCAGAAAAATGCAAATGGGAGATGAAGGTCATCAGTCAAATGGCAGCAAGGGAGGAGAGAGAAATGCTGCAGGACGGATTTGCTGCTGGGTACCGAGGGGAGGAGCCACAGAGCCTGGTTTTGGTGATGGGCTATTCTCAGCCAGGGTTTGGCTTGCAAGGACAGTGTCTCAGGCGCACTCACTTAAATCCAGCCTGAGTCAGTGGGCATATGTCCAAATGCAAGGTCAAGCTGCTGAGCACAAGCAGGGTTAACCCCCAGTTGCAGTGAAGTCCTTAGTTCCTGCCATTCGTCTGCTGGGCAACAGAAGATGCTGACTAGCTCTCACAGCCTCTTTGCCTTCAGCTTTCAGCAGGCACAGGCAGGAGAGGGGCTTTTAGAGGATACCGTGCATCTCTCAGCAGTGGCAGCATACAAAGGAAAGGAGAGGAGAAGCTGACCAGGTAACCTTGGCTGTTAGGGCTGAATGGCTGAGTTCTCATGGTGGCTGAACCCTGAACAGCAAAATAGGTTTTTAAAGCAGTTTAGCGCAATGCACTGGAAGTATTCTCACTTAACCTTTGAGCCAGTGGTTCATGTCTAGATTCTGCCTTGGTTTAGACTAGCTGCACACTGATGTTGCTTCAGGACTGAGCCCCAGCAGGCATGACATCCAGTGCACAGAAAAAGGCATTGTCCCCACTGCTGCCTGGTACCTGCTGGTGATGCTGGTGCTCGCAGCCATGAGCAGCTTTAGCAAGAAACCAAAGGGCAGATCCAGTTTTGTTCTTTCGCTACACTTTTCCTCTCAGTGAATGAAGTGTTTGCCCTATTTTGTGCAGACAGCAGCAGTTAATCCTGGTGTTGGTGAGGGCTCTGTGGCTCGTGCTGGCTCAGGGACTGTGCAAATCCACCCATCACCGCTAGCTGAGCTCACTGACCTAGGTGTCACCATGTCCAGAAAGGATGGCTGCACCACCATCCTGTGTCATGGCACCCAGAACCTCTTGGGAGCCTGGCCCTCAGTGCTGGGGACATAGTGATGGAAAACTCCTCCAGCAAGGAGGGTTTCTGCCACTCTGAAAAGTACTTAGTTACTCTGCCTCTTCCTAACAGGCCTGTCATGGAGGTACCAAGTGATCAGCCCTTCAGTGAGGAGCAGGCTCGGCTCTACTTCCGAGACATTGTCCTGGGCATCGAGTACTGTAAGTACCACCAGCACTGACATCAGCTTTGCAGAGCATGTGTGTCGGCCTCCTGCTCAGCTGGGGAGAAGCCTCTTGACTCTGGTGGGCTGTCAGTCAAATGAGCAAGGTCCCCTCTAATTGCATGTGATGGGGTTTACAGTTGGTGGTGGCCCCGCTCAGCTCAGATTTACCCAGGCAGCATTCCTTACTTAGAAAAGACATTATGAAAATAGTGGCTTCCTTTTTTCTTCTATTTATCTCTTTTTGGAGAGCATCTTTGAAGGCAATAGTGGAGCCACAAAATGGGTGTTTGCAGTGACACAGACAGAGTCAGTTAGCTTCAGCTGGAACAAATTGCTGTCTCCAGCTTAGCAGGGCAAGAGCTTCAGCTGGAACAAATTGCTGTCTCCAGCTTAGCAGGGCAAGTGCTGGCCGTGGGGAAAGCTGGTGAGCCAGTGCTGGGAGGGTGTCTGCCCTTGTCTGCTCCCTCCACAGCATCAGTTTCTGACTTGTCACTCAGGACTGTGTTGTGATGAGAGCCCAGTGCTCCTGTGGCCTCCCAGGGAGGTGGTGACTCAAGTGTGTTCTCAGGCTCCGTCTGGAGACTCCAGCAGCAGGTTTCCTGTTTGTAGCCTATTTGATTATCATCACCTTTTTTTCGTAAGTCTTCTCCCAATGTGGCTGAGGCCAGATTCTTTGCTGAGCGCCTGTCCTGAAGAGGACAAGGAGGCTACAATAGGTCTGTAAATGACAGCAGAAATTTTTGTAGCCCCATTGTAGTTGACATGTCCCTGCTGGCATGAACCTGACAGGGGTGGGAGAAGAGGGGTCCCTGAATTGAAGACACAAGGTAGAGCGGTGTGCTGGCATCTTGTGAGCGTGGACCCCGAGGAGCAGTGATGGCTGGGTTGTGCTTTCCCTCATGGACTCTTAGCAGAGCTGACATGTCCATGTAAACTCTTGCTCTCTGCAGCAGGGGATGTGAGGCTGTTAGATGGTGCATTTTGCTCGCTGCTGATATGCTGATCCTGTGCTGCAGGCTTCATGGTGGGGCTTATCTTCTGACCTGGTGCCAGCAGTGGGAGGATACCCATGAAATTGCTGGTTTCTTTCTTTTCTGTAAGACAGACCTCTGAAAGTAGCAAACACAGTAGAGCTGGGCATTTATGGGTGCAGGACACATCTCTACCATGCAGGGGGGTGTGGGTCAGAGAGCCTGGTGCTTTGATGTGGTGTGGTGCTGGTAGCTGGCATTACTCCCATGCTGTGTCTAAACATATTACACTGCACATTCCCACTCCTCCTGAGCCTCCTACCAGCATTGGCACCAAGTCAGAAGGCACAACTTGGGTCCCCTGTTGCTCACTCACATTAGCCTGAGCCTCTTCTCTCCCTTTTGCATCAGAAGGTCCCTGCCTTTATCCTCAGTGCTGCTCCTTGCACTGGAGCAGTTCATGCACAGGGTGCTACCAGGGACCCACGTAGCATGGAGGTACCCATGCGACTGCTGGTCTGCAGTTACTGCTTGTGTACCAGCTGGGCACGCTGTCAGACAAACTGCTGGTGAGCTGTGTTTGTCTCTATGCCTGTTTGATTCTGCTGTCCTCCTCGCAGACAGCTGTCTGTTTAGTGATAGAGTTTTTAGTGATCTCATCATTGACTGCTTTCTCTGCATGTTGATGCACTAAAGAATTGACCATGGTTGGATGGCTGAATATGAGGAGGGAGAGATGATACACCTTTTTGCAGAGGCAATTCATGCCTTGCAGATCTATTCATTTTCCAGAGGAGTCAACAAACATGTAGATAAGGTGATCCTGTTACTATGCTGTGTTTTGATTGCCAAACAGCTTTTGATTAGATCCATTAACAGTAGCTCATAAAGAAGCTCATAAGTCTCCTCTTTGGTTGGATGGCCTCTTGTGGATTAATAACTAGACAATCAGGAAAGTAGGAATACAGCTTTCACAATGGAGAAAAGTCACTAGTGCAGTTAAACAGGAATCCATAATGTGGCCTGGGTTGTTTAATATATTCCTAAATGACCGGAAAAAGGGTAGAGTACTTAGAGAGGTTGGTGATGACATCTAGTTATTCAGGATAGTCATTGTTAGAACTGACTACGAAGACTGGCAGGAAGATGCCATGATAGCAAGTGATGGCATGATAAAATGGCAGATAAAAATTCATGTTGCTGACTGCAGGGTAATGCATGAGGGGGAGAAACAATGCTAAAAATAGGTACATAGCGGTAGGCTTTAAATTAGTTGTTCTCACTCAGGCTTTGTTCTGGATAGTTCTCTTGAAAATGCCAGCCCATTACTTAGTGACAGTCAACTAAGCTAACAAGATTTGGGGAATTATTGGGAATGAAATAGAGAAGAAAACAGAAAATGCCATTATATGGTTATTTGGATCTGTAAGAGCTCTTAGATACAGGCAAGGAGTATCTTGAACACTTTGTGCAACTCGACTCAGCCTGTCTTAGAAACAGCTCTCTACAACTGAAAAAAGCCTGAGAAGGGTGATCAGGATGGTCCTGGAACATCATCTATGCAGAGATGGAACATCTTCCATACAGAGATAAGACCAAAGCTCTTAAGATTTGAAAATTATCATGGGAAGGGGTGATATGACAGAGGCTTATAAAATCTTAAGTGTCAGGGAAGTGGTAAACAGTCAATGAATCTTCTCTGTCTCTAAAAACACAAGAACTGAGGAGTAGCAAACAAAATAATCAGTTACCAAGTTTAAACCAGAAGGAATTACTCTTTTATGTAGCATGTAATTAAACTGTGGTGCTCATAGCTAGAGGAGATAGCAGGTGCCAGAACTAAAAGGGCTTAAAGTGATTAGACAGGTCTGTAGAAGAAAAGAGCATCAAGGACTATGAGATATGAGGATGCAGGCAGTGTTTGCCATCAAGCTGCCTAAAGCAGAGAGTGTGGGTACTGAAGGTGTTACATCTCTCTGCCTGATGCTTTTCCCCAAGTTATTGACCCTGGCAGGAGATGGGGTGCTGGGGTAGGTGGCCTTTGGCTTGGCTCCTCTTCCATCCAGCAGCTTGTCCACACCGTCCTTGAGGTTATCACTGTGCTGACCTGACAGCAGAGGTAGCTGTGCTGTGCCAGGTTCTGTGAGACTGATGTAGGTTAGTTTGGTGCCTCTCAGGCATGGCAACCTTTATAAACCTGGCTTACTTTGGCAGTGCAAATGCATGGTTTTGGTAGCAAATCTGAAGGCAGGGCAGCCAGCAGAGGGGGGGACCAGGGCACTTGAGCAAGTGATCATCATCCCCAGTCAATGAGCAGCATGCAATGTGTGAAAGGTCAGACATGTGCGAGACAGAGCCATGTCACCCTCCCTGTTTAGTCCGAGGTGAAACTTTTCCAGCTGTTTCAACCTTCGGAAATAAATACCCGCTTCTTTCACAAACCAGAGGGAATTATTTCAGATGTGCTTTCAAAAAGCCAACACGTAGCTCTGTCAAACTCAAAAGGAACATTTCATGCTGCAGTAGTGCTTTGAGCCATGTCTGCCTTTGTTTCACTGATTTCTGGTGGTCGCTGCAAGCTCAGCAGCTCCTCAGAGCCAGAGCAAGCCCTTGCTTTTGTTGAAGACTCACTTGGTTTCAAAAACCTGCAGAGAACAAGTCTCTGTAACAGACTTTGCCAAGGCAGAGGAAGGTGGTTTGCAGTGCCTTGGTCCATCTCCACACTGTAATGCAACACCACCTCATTTTTTGTCTAAAACCAGTGGGTGGGAATGAAATCAATGTTTGCAAGTCTGTGACAGTCCAGAAGCTTCCAGGTTCTGCCAAAATCAGTCAGGTCACCCCAGGAAGTCAGTGGAAATGTATATATGAATGGGAAGCACAAGACTTTTTTTCAGTAGAGTTTGAAGGGTGAAGACTGCAGCTTTTTATATTCTCATTAACATTCATATTATAGCAGAACCTGTACGCCTCAGCTGGGAGATGCAAGCTCTGCTGTGCTGGATGCTGCTGGCATAACAGTTCCTGCTCAGAGGAAACTTTAAGTTTAGAAGATAGTCAAAAAGGGAAAAAGTGAAGTGAAGTGTGGGTAGTCCTAGGCAGGGGGAGTGAAACAGGGCAATAAATTATAGGATGCCCAAACACTCCCAACAACAGGAACAATAGGATGCTTTATTTTGGGCTCTCGAGTAACCACTTATTTTATTAGCAAATGAAAGTTAAAAATGGTGTTCTCTCAGAACTGCTGGGTAAATGCGTGGCAATTATTATGTAACTACAGAGGAAGAGTGCACCGTTTGCGTGTGCTGAAGGAGAAGTGTTGCCAGGCAATCTAGAGATTGCAAGGTAATTTTAATGTAAGCATACATAATTGTTATGTAATTTGGGAGACTCAATAACCATGCAGCTGCTTGAAGCTCACAGTCATCACAGCACCAAATGCATCATTGCTGGTTGGGTTTTATTAAATTAGAAGTTGCAAACTGGATTCCTGTCAGAGACTACAAGGCATTAATCCAGGCCAGTGCATTGCCCTTGGTGCAAATGGTACATGGTGAGTGGGAAAGAGCCAAGCCAATGGGAAATGTGAGCTGACATTTTAAATTACTGCTGGTGGCACATGGTCTATGGCCACTGTGTGCTCGTGGGGGCTGGACTCCACTTGTTACTTGTGATACTTGCCTGGGGTGGAGGCCTCCTGTGAGAGGGCTGGCTCTGGGGAGAAGCGTTTGGAGGGAAGCAAAGTCAGTGTGATGAGAGCAGAAACATCCCATGCTGGGTGGGAGGCAGGGACAGATGTCCTGGAGAGAGCCGAGAGCTCCCCCATCCAGGCAATGGCATGATGCTGCCTTGCTTTGTTGACTGCTTTTGGCTGGGTTTCTGGGTTTACTATGTTTAATACTGGGAAGTGCACTTTGATACATGCATGGTCTCAGCCTTGTTCACTGCTGAATGAAGAAACAAAGGCAGGTTCAAGGTTTGAAGGCCAGGGAGCTCTGCCTATGTAGATTATCCCTTCCTCTGG